AGTTAATTTTGAATTTCGAACAAGTGGGGGTTGCAGCCTGACGGAGGTGGTATAACTGCCATGCAGGCATACTAATATTTCATAAACAACGGCATAAATATTATTTTGAAGAAATAAATTAATACTTTTTCAATACTTTTAATTTGATTTTGCCCTTCTTACGTGCTTGAATATGTGCTTGAATGACTGACATGGTACAACAACCCTCAATCCGCTACGATAATGTTTAATTATTAAACTGTAACAGTGGTAAATTTCATTTTGGGGAAATAAATTAGTACGTGCGTACTAAGTGTACTCAGAGTGTACTATAGTTATAAGGAATACTGACATAATTCCCAGACAGTGGGTAGGGCGCAAATGAGGAGGGTACAGACGGATTGCTGTTTTACTAGATGAAATTTGCAAATCGCGTGAGTTACATATTTCGTTATTCAATTCGAACACACGCAGCCGATAGTACGCGTTACCGTCCACACAGCTGGAGGCCCTTGTCATCTCGCAAATATTTATGTGTTATTCTTCATTCTGTGCGGTTCAACATCTGCGGCCGAGGCGATCCGCAGCTCTCTATTTCTTATTTATGTTCCCTTCCCACGTCGCGACGGCGGTGCGCTTTCGAGCAGCGCGGTGCGTAGCAGAGCATTGCTTTGAATGGAGGCCGTCCCACGTGCAGCGGCAGCCGACGCCGAACTCCAGCCACGCGAAGCGGAGGAGGGGGCGCGCGCCGCCGCTAGCAGAACACAGCTTTAAATGGGAGCCTTCCCACTGCGCCGCGGCCGCAGCGTTCTACCTGCTCCGGTCCCTTTAATCGTCGTCGCCGGAGGGTCGGCGAAACCTACCCCTCCAGAACCCACCCCCTCCCACGGCGGGCGGCGGTGCGCCCGTGGCGGCGGCGTTGGCTGCGTCGGAAGGAAGCGCGACGCCATGGCGACGTGGGAAGGCGACGCGGGCGATTCTTTTATGACACTACTCTAACATTCCCCTGGAACGTTGCTAGGATGAGTCTCACGCGGAAGCGTCGCAGCGGTCCAAAGACTCTCCGAATCCGCATGTAGTTTCCTAGTGTCATTGCATTAGGGCGCCTTCCCACGTCGTCATGGCGCCGCACTTCCTTGCTAGTGAGGTCACTACCCTGAAGAAGCCTGCGACATGACAGGCGAAACGTCGGCCTATCTGCCAACGACGCGGCGTCACCCAGACAGCCTAGAAGTAAAGTGACTTTGAAACACGTCAGTGTTTCTAGGAATTAATTTATGTTGCATAGTTTTGAGATATGCGGGTTTGTTTTTTGTGTTAAAAAATGTAAAGTTTCGTCGATCGACGAAATTTTCCGATTTTCGAAATGACGCGGCTTTGCTTACCACTTGATCGACTTGCTCAGGAATACCCCACACATTCAACTAGCTCAAGGATCCCCCACTTAATCGACTTGCTCAATAAATCCCACTTGATAGAGTTCTTCTTTGTGTTAGGTTCTTAGAGGGCACATTTCTCATCAGTATATGACAAACGATGACATTTTCATAAAATTCACGAACTTTGAAACGCGTCAGAGATTCTAGAATTGATTTTTGTTCCATAGTTTGCGAAATATGCGAGTTTCTTTTTTGAGTGAAAAGATTAAGGTTCAAAACTTTAGTTGAAAATATTGCATTTTCAAGCAGGTTATTATTAAAAGAGAAGAATCATTTAAGTTTAAAATTAAAGAGTAGAGTACATGCTATCATGTGCGTAAATTTCAGCGCTTTAGCTCGAATAGTTTAAGAGATACAGCCTTTTGAATTTAACTATTATTTTCAGAGCGTTGAGAATTCGAAATACAAGGGTTTCAATTCAAGTTTTTTATATGGAACATTTCTCATTCGCATATGAAAAACGATGTGATTTTCATAAAATAAATGTATTTTGAAACACGATATAGTTTCTAAAATTGATTTTCGTTCCATTGTTTTTAAAATATATGAGTTTTTTTAGTTAAAAACTGAAAGCTCAAAATCGCAGTTACAGATATTGCATTTTCAAGCAGGTTATTATTAAAAGAGAAGCATCATTACAGACTCATATTAAAGAGTATAGTACGTACTATATGGGTAAATTTCAGCGCTATAACTGGAATAGTCTAGGAGATAGAACCTTTTGAATTTGACTATTAATTTTATGGCGTTGAGAATTCGAACAATGGTTTTAAATCAAGGTTCTTAAAGGGCACATTACTCATCCGTATACGACAAACAATGACTTTTTCATAAAATACATTAATGTTGAAACACGTGAGTGGGTCAAGAATTGATTTTTGTTGCATAGTTTGGGAAATATCGGAGTTTCTCTTTTGTGTTAAAAACTGAAGGTTCAAAATCGCAGTTACATGTATTGCGTTTTCAAGCAGATTATCATTAAAAAAAAAAGAAGCATCATTTAAGACTCAAATTAAAGAGAAGAGTTCATACTATCTTGTGTGTAAATTTCAGCGCTTTAACTCGAATAGGTGAAGAGATAGATAAAATTTGCATAATTAATTGAAACATAGTTTAAAGAATATACCTTTTAGTGAATAGTACAAACGATAATGTCTCGTTAAGAAGAGGCACCTCTCTGGGTAGGCAGATCTACACGATGCCACGTTTACATCTAATTTTAAGAAATCCAGCGAAACAAGATTTTTTTGTTTTGTTTTGAAATTTGATAGTTGTAAATTGAAATATCTTTTAATAATATATCATTTAGTGAATAGTACTAGCCATAATGTTTCGATAAAATGGTGCTCGTCTCTAAGTAGGCAGATCTACGCGCTGCCTAGCTTAAATCTATTGTAAGAAATCCAACAAAAAAAGAAAAAGGGATTTTTTAAAAATGCTATTTTGACAATTGTGAATTGAAATAATATTTAAAGAATATAACATTTAGTGAATAGCATAAGCGATAATGCCTCTTTAAGACGGGACTCGTTTATGGGTAGGCAGGTCATCGCGCTGCCTCGCTTATATCTAACTTTCAGAAATCCAGCAAAACATGAAAAAGGATTTTTTTATATGTTAATAAACAATTGTAAATTGAACTATCCTTTGAAGAATATAACATTTATCAAATAGTATAGTCGATAATGACTCGTTAAGACTATGCTCAACTCTGGGTAGGCAGATCTTCGCGGTCCCTGGCATAGATAGATTTATTAAAGTTCGCTTTAAGCTAATGCTCGGTGGCAAACATAATAACAATTAAATAATAATAATAAAATAATAATAAATTTAAATAGAATTACAAAAAATTTTCAACATTTACAATTAGGTTTACTATTAGAATTAGGGGTCGATATCATAGTTCCAATTTATTCCTAGCTAACTCTAAATTCACTTCTAGTTTACATAACACTTCACTACACTACACTGCACTCCCCTTCTCTACACTACACTCCCTTCCCCTCCACTACACTACACTTCACATCACTGTATAAGGGATATGACTATAATAATTATAACTTAAAAATTATTATTTAGGGAAATTTTTAAGTTATAATAACTTAAAATAACTTAACTAATGACTGTGTTAACAATGATGATAAATTTGTCAGTAATAATATAAGAATAATAATAAAAGTAACGGTAATATTAATAAACATAAAAGTAATAATAATAATAATAATAATAATAATAATAATAATAATAATAATAATAATAATAATAATAAAGATAAATGTCTCAGGCAGTATGTCAGTATTATTTGAGATGATCTAGTTCGAATGAAGCATATTTTTAAATTTGGTTACATTAGAAGGAAGAGCCTCTAGTGCTTCTGCAGGTAGTTTGTTCCAATCTACTATTGTGCGATTCACAAAGGAGAACTTGCCTACATCAGTTCTTTGCTTTCTATTCGTTTTTCCAAGGATGGTCTCCTCTGCTTTTATACTTCTGTAATCTTTTACTGATATCTGCCCATGCTGTGTCCCCTCTGTATGTCTTATACATTTTGAGTGTGGCTGAATATCGCTTATAGTGGTTCACTATTTGAGGAATGCACAAGTGTTCTTTTGTGAGTTTATAAAGCTCCCTTTTTCTTTCACACGAGATTTTAATCCCCTTTGTTATCCATGCTTTGCTGGTTTGTGAGTTGTTTATTTTGTGATACTGTAGTGGATGTGAGATGTTGAAATAGTGTTTGATTGTATTGAAGAAAGTGTCAAACTTGAGATTGTTGGCAGATATTTCATATACCCCTGACCATGATTCATTAGTTAACAGTGAGATGAGATTGTTCAGTTTTTTTCATTATACTTCCTAGTCTCCTTTATTAGTTTTGCTTTTGGTGAGGTGGAATTTATTTTGAGAGTGAGTATTTGAGCATTGTGGTCACTGAGCCCCGTATCATTAGTGGTGATTGTGTATGTGCGTTTTGTTTTGTCTAAAAGGATCTGGTCAATTGCTGTTTGGGAGATCTTTGATTGCCTGGTTGGTGTCTCAACTACTGCATCTAAATTATAGGAGTGTACTAAGTTTATTAGTTTGATTCTGTCTCTTTCATGAGTAGTATTAGCTGTAGGTAGGAAGTTAATGTTTATGTCGCCACAGATTATAATAGAGTAATGAGCCCTCTTTGTTAATTTATCCAAGATTAATTCTAAGTTTTTAAGGAATATTTGAAGATTCCCATCTGGTGCTCGATAAATGCGTAGGAGGAAGATGTTCAGCTTTGGAATTTCTACAATTGAACATTCTATGTCTGAGTCGCATGTTATTTATTTGAATTCATTTACTTCTTTGGATTCACAGTTGTTGGCCAGATATAAGCATGTGCCTCCATGCGTGTGATTAATGTTGTTGTGTTTGTCCCTGCGACAGAAGTAAACAGCCAAGTAAAAACCTGGTATTTGTGTCATTTTAATTTGATCCTCTGTAAGCCAGTGTTCAGTTATACAGATTGCATCAGTGTGTTTTATGTGATAAGTTAGTATGTATTTTGTTTTTTAAAGATCGAATGTTCTGATGTAGGATCTTGAAGGTGCTATGTTTTGCAGTGGTGCCTGGTGTAGAAGTGATTGTTTGCTACAGGTCCAGGTGCTGGACAGGTTTTGGAACAGCACGCAGGTTGTAGGATATGGATTGAGAGGGTTTTGAGGGAGAGTTTTGGGAGATTGGAGGGTTGGCGGTTACGACAGCATAAGTGGGAGTGGAAGTCACCGGACTAGGGGCCAAGGCTGAATTAGGATGAGTAGAAGGGGCTGGTGTGGACGGAGCAGGGGTTGCCGGAGGTGTAGAGAGTGCAGGAGATGGTGCTAGCAGTGAAGGAGCCTCTAGGATGTGTGTGGCTACCTTTCATGCTAGTGCGTGTTTGCCAGCTTGTCTCAGGTGGAGACCATGCCAGGTGAAGAGAGTCTCTGAGAGAAAGTCTAAGTTAAATAGTGTAATTTGTGTGTCTCTCAGATGCTGTGTAAGTATGCTGTTTGCTTTTTTAATCTTGTTGTTTATAAGGGTGTTGTTGTGCCAAGGGGGCAGAGTTGTCATAATTACATTTGTTTTCTGGGCAGCCTTTTGTATTTTTTATATTTGTTGGCTGGGTTCTAGCTGGCTGCCATGGTTAATATCATTCTGCCCACCTATTATAACTTCTGTGTCCCAGGTTGTAAAGTGCTGTGTCAGCGTTTTCAAGTCGCTAGTCACATCTGCCAAACGAGCATTAGGCTTAAAAATGCTTGTGACCCCGTATTTGAAGGGAAGAAGCTCTCTCCATTTGGAGGACATGTTCCTGCCATGGCTATCCGCTAATATTAATACTTTCTGTTTCAGAGAGAGTGTGCTGTCTTTGCAAGTTGTGTTTGCAGGTCCACTGGTTATATTTGGTTTTAAAGTCTGTCTGGACACTGCAAATTGTGTTTTTTTGTGTGCATGCTTGTGTAGAGGTTTAGTGGAGAAAGAGGTAGAGAATTGGTAAGGGGGGAAAACAGGGTCTTGGAGGAGATCGAACCTGTTGTTTGTAGGGAGGGCATTATGTGTGTATGTTGTGATGCAAGTGGACGGCTGGGCTTGGTTAAAGGTTTGTTTGTTTTAGCTCTAGAAATTACTGTCCAGCCATTAGTGTTTAGAACGACCTTTTCCAGCCTACGGATTTCGTGTTTTATTTCATTCACCTGCTGGAATGCAGCCTCTACGTGTTTGTAGGCTCTCTGGAGGCCGGCGTTGAGTTTCAAAAGGGTTTCGTGGTGGTGCATGTTGGTGTATATACTTAGAATAGACTATCGATTTAATTTAGATTGTGAGTGTAATTTAGTGAGAGGTTGTTATTTTTGTTGTTGAAGTTTTTGTTTTTTTTAAGAAGAATTTGGTTTATTCAGGAGATATAGTATTTAGATGAGTTTTGGTAAGCGAGTGTTAATGTGAGGTTAGTTACATGCAATAGTTATGTGACATGCACACTTAAGATTACTTCACATGCACACTGCACTTAAGGCACTACATATGTAGATACTGAGTTACACTACACTTATATGAACTAAATACACACTAAAGACGAATAAGATAAACTACACAATATAATATATTCGGCACTGTCACTAAACACGCGAGTGGCGGTAGGTTAGAGTGTAGGTGATATTAGCGATTTAATTAATAAAATAGTTTATTTCTAGTTTGGCTAATGTTTATCTTGGTTCAGATTACTTAGTGCACTCTGCAATATATTTATCACGACAAATATCAATAGACTATATATTAGTGATGAAAATACGGAGCTAACTTACACTCCACAGGGCCGTCATCTTGGATTCGAAAGCCAAAATCAGGGCCGATTCACTCAATGTTAAAAGGCGGGGGACTAAGTTTGTTTCCTCACTCCCGGACCTGGTGCAGATAGGCAGCTGTTGCGTTTTTGGCGCGCATTTTCAAAGTAATGTTTCCGAATTACTTGTGGTGCGTTATAGAGATTATTCAAGAGTATTATCTGCTTTTCTTATGATCAGATTAACTTGATTTAAATAATATTTTTAAATATGTATTAGATGTGTATAATTAAAACAAAATTGTAAAGTGATTTAATTTATCTTAATTATTTAAAAGCAGAAAAAAGTGAAAACATGAAGTTTTAATTGATCATTTCTTATTGTTTGTTTTAGTTGTTTTTTTCACATAGATACTATACATTTGAGGGGTCTGATGCAATACACGCCTAACACACAAAATTTTAAATGTGAGTACTTATAGTTTCATCACTTCTCATGTGTTACGTTATCAATAAGCTTGTAGCAAACAGCTGTTAGCATGGGTCAGAAAAAAGGCATTTCTTTATCAAAAAAATTTTTACCATCTTTTCTGTAATATTACCTGAAATCAAAAAACCTTACTGTTAAAAACAACTTATTTCACAAATTACTTACAACAATATTAGACAGTTTTTGAATATAAATTCTCTTAATAATTGTCCTGTCCTTCCCACTTAAATGGTATTTTTACCAATAAACACAAGGAAAAAGGTTAACATTATTAAAATTAGTAAGATTAAATACCGTTTTCATTAATTTTCACAATATTAATTTTTTTCTTAAGTGCGTATCAATAAAATTCCATTTTATTAATGCTTATCTCTCTAGAATGTTATACTTTTGTGGCATTAGCAAACACTTTTATCCAAATCTAGAATTACAATATGCTTGAAGATTTAATCATGTTTTCTCCTGAAACTAGCTCGGTGTGTGTATTGTTCTAATTTGCTATTATCTACATGACAATGAAATGCTAGATAAAATATATAATCATCCAAGTTTCATTAGTAAATAACTATACAAATTGGTTTATTGTTCATATTCATAAGCATGCTCATTTTAATGTATACTACATTGTATTTTTTTTCTCGAAATTCTTCAATTATGTGGTAAAAAGTTTAAAGAAATATGATATTCATTGTTATAAACTATGTAATTGATTTAAGTCTCCATCTCTATAACTTAATATTTATTATTTGTAATATTTGAAAAAATAACTTAAATCAATGATTTTAAAAAAATTAATCATTTGATATAAATCATGATTGAAATCACACCAGACTTAATTTTTGGTGAATTTTATAGCCAAAAATAGAATTGTAATTTTGATACATATATCAATCATTGGTACTGTGACTATTTTGGGTAAGTCTTTCAAAACCAAGAAAAAATGAAACAAATTTATAAATTATACTAGTTTTATGTTTGGAAAGTTGATTCGTCTTGTAGTTAGTAATAACATACCGGTAAATATGCTTAGTGTTCTGGGATTAAAGAGGGAATTTGCATTGTTTACAAAAAAAAATCTTAAGAAAATGAAAATTTGTGGAATATAAAACAATTTTAATTTGGCAGTTTCTCCTATTTTAGCAATCTTAAATTCAAAATAAACAATTTGGCACAGATTTCTTTGTTTAGGCAGCAATACAAGATTTTTTTATTTTTCTATAGGCTATCTGATTGGTTACTGCACATCATGACAATATTTCCACAAGTCACACAAACTCTCCTCATTGAACCTACACATGGGCAGAACAATAACTGAATTGTCGGATGACAGAATTTTGACGGTAACATGGTAGAAAAATTGGTTAGATTTTTACTATAATTATCAATAATATTATTACAGGATTTATTGTTCAGATGTTTCATTTACAATTCAAATTTGGCTACGTTTAATTAAAAATCATCTATAATATATTAACCTTTCTTAGCATTGAAGTATTGTGAAATATCCAAAAAAGTATTATACCCATCTTAATATTTTTTAAAATAAACATTAGATATTTAGAGTATATTATTTATTACACACAGTTTCTTTTATTACACATTCGAAACAAAAGTTTTTTAATTGTTTCACAATTCAAATTGTTTTGTTATTTTATTAATATATTTTCAGTGCTTGTTAGGGCAAGTTTTTCTAAACAAGGCAATTATTATTTTATTATATATATATTATTATATATTATATATATATATATATATATATATATATATATATATATATATATATATTGCTGAAATAATATTTTGTCTACAAATTCGAGACTAGCAGACTCGCAGCATCAGGGAAAAAAAGAGATTTCACTGGCACCACTTTGTAATAAGATTTTCTTGAAATGTTTCTTTGAGAAGACAAGAGGGCTGGGCTTGTAGGAAACAATTTGTTGATACAATTCCATCTTCTAATGTTAGTGAAGTCAATTCGTTTATATCTTGCCAGTTATCACACTGCAAACTCTAAGATACCTCCAGAATGGAAACGTAACTCGTACACCTAAGCAAATTAAAATTTAATTACTTTTTCATCATAACTAATGAGAGTGTACCTATTCAAGAAATGCAACAATAATGAATTATGTATATTTGAAAATTAGCAATTTTGAATACCAGGGTATTGCAAAAATGGATATATGGATATACAATGAACATATTACAAAACTTATCCAATACTACGAATAATATAATTAGCAATGACTTTTAAACAAAAAAAAAACAAAAAACAGATATAATAAACATGTACAGGTTAGGTTTATACTACATGGGGATTATACGGATTTTTAAGACTATTTTTGGCATGGTGTAAATGTTCACAAATGAATATAATATACAATATGCAACAAGTTCCAAAATGAATTATAAATACTCCACTGCTGGGTAGGGGAAAATCTAGAATTACTTGTCTAGACAGTTTTCTTTAATACTCATCTTCAAAATACTGAAAAAAGTTTTAGGGAGACATGACAAAATAAATATCGCGAACACAATTCCACTCTACTTAACATGCCAACATTCTACATACTAACAACTGCTGAAAAAAAATTCGATAAAAAAGAGCACCTACTGCTTGCAGCCTTGCACGTAAGAAATAAGAAACACGCATACATTGCCAGCTTTTTTGAATTGCTGCGTCACACGTTTAGCTTGACTCACTAACCGGAACTGGGTTTGTAGATGGCGCAAAAATCATTACCCCGTTTTGACCGCCAAGTTTCCCTACCCTGGCCAAAACCTTCGAACAAAACTGGGTTTTGGACTTCGGAGGCTATTCTCGAATGTCGGGCTCGTGACACATCATAGGGACTCTTAAATACTAAAAAACTTTTTTTCAGGAATATTAACTTTCTCTTTTATTTTCAGGAAGTAAACTTCAAATTCGTTAAGAAAGATGGTTACAATAAAATTCCTTAATATCCACCACACTGCATGTCAGCAAATAGAGAATGCGTAAAAGGGCAGAATTAAAAATTTCGTTGATTCATGGATGGACGAAGCTTTACATTTTTTAACACAAAAAAGAAACCAGCATATCTCACAAATTATGCCACATGAATAAATTCTAGAAACACTGACGTGTTTCAAAATTAATGTAGTTTCAGAAAATGTCATCATGTCATATACGGATGAGAAATGTGGCCTCTAGGAACATTGAATTGAATGCCTTGTATTTTTGAATTTTCGTCGCTCTGAAAATAATAGACAATTTCAATAGCCACCATCACCTAAACTATTAAAGCTACAGCGCTGAATATTGCACACAACATTGTAAGTAATCTACACTTTAATTTGAGTAATCGATGAAGTTTCTCGCCTAATAAGGACCTGCTTGAAATTACAATTTTTTACATTGCTATTTAGAAGAAATTGCCGTTTATGGCAAAACATTTGCGGTTTTCTGATAAACTGAGCTTCTAATCGAAAAATGGGTCTCACCGGTGTGTTAACCAATTTCGTGCTAGGACCCTGGTGGTCAAAAAAATCCGTCATGTCGAAAATCGGAAAATTTCGTCGATCGACGAAACTTTATACATTATATTTTTAGTATTAGTATTAGTTATTATTAGTATTTTTGAACATAAAAAGAAACACGCATATCTCACAAACTATCTGACATAAATCAATTCTAGAGACACGGATGAGTGTCTAAATTCTTGTAGTTTCTGAAAATGTCGTCATTTGTCATATACGGATGAAAAATGTGGCCTCCAGGAACCTTGCATTTGACACCTAATTTCCGGAACATATCCTATTTAAGGCAGAAATTTATATCTTCAATACTATAACTTTTCAATGTTTTATATGTTTGATAATTTTTAAAATGTCAGAGAGTAATCAAAATGAAACTGACTCCACTCCTTTTAAGTGACCCTTGTTATCTGTGTGGAAAAAATTTAGAGAAAAATTTGAAGCCTTTTTTAGAAACAGTGAGACTAAATTGTTCTGAAATGGGAAGGAATTAAGACTTCAATTTGGTTGCATAAACATTAGCAAAAAACTGAATAACGAAAAAAAAAAAAAAAGTTTTATAAGTTTCAAAAGTTTCAAGTTTCCTAAAATGATGAATTCCATCAATAATACTTTATTTCCAGGCTAAATGTTTTAATCATACCAGAATGGTAAGTAAACACAATAGAGAGCAACATATGAAATTTAATAGCTATTGTTAGTCTCTTTGATTCAGATGCACCAGCAGATCATTAGAGGGTGATACGTAGAACACGATTGACTTCGAAAACATTTCCCAACGACAATCCAGACTTTATTATTGCCAGTGAATGTTCTTTCAGAGCTTTTTTATGTGGACAATCACAGTATTCACAAATTCAGTGCTCTACAAGGAATATTCTCATTGAAATCACTGCAACAAATCTTTGTAGAAAGTAGCCACGCAACAGTGGATGTTGTATACCTTTAGGACAAGCAACACTGAAGATTGTAAACTGCTGTTTACATATTGTGTAAGATGGTGCATTAGTATGTTGCATGCAAGAACTGATGTGCCAGCTTTCACCCAATCCAACAGCAACGGGCCAGCCAATATCAGAGAAGCTTGCGACACCAATGTTCATGCACTGACTATGCGTGGCAGGCAAATAGCCTCATGTGTGACTACTGTGTTCAAAGATTTGTTGCAGCAATTTCAATGAGCTATCCTGAAATAACTCCCATAAATACCTCTCACTTAGTGACAACCATGTTTTTCTTCCACTCAAGAAATATTTAGACAGCATTTCAGACGACAATGAGATCCAGATGCAACTGCTGGATGTTTGTACAATCAATCCAGAACTGAAGGTTATTCACTTCACATTCGTGAGGTTCCTGGGGATTGCTGGGATGCATGTATTCATTTTCAGGGCAGCTAAGGTAAGCTGTTTATGTTCCCAATATGCCACTCTTTCTTCTGGATACTTACAGTACACCCTCTTTTTTACACTTTTCAGGGAACCGATGGAAAAAAGTGTAAAATGCAGGAAAGTTAAAAACTGATAGGCTAAGCGAGTACGTACATTATTTATTACAAGGACTTGTTTACATAATTAAATTACTCATATTACACTTTTAATAATTTACAAATTACACTTAAACTATTTTAAAGAATCTAAAATTGTCATTTGTTTTTTCTGTAAATGAATTTCTGCTACCTGACTCTCCACTATATAAAATGCTTTGAATGCATCCTTACCACCTGATTTGCTCTCAATAAATTGCCTCAAAGTAGTGATTGCATCCATTGCTTTGTCAATTGTCGGAATGACAGGTTCTGGATCTGTGTCTTTGCTAACGTCTTGTTTCAGGTGGGATATTCTCCCCTCCACAGTAGGTAATACTGAAGTTGTAATTTCAGCATCAACATTTACATAATCTTCAAATGAAGATCCTGCCATCACTGACCAGTGATTACGTTCTGCCAAATGTTCATGTTCATAATTCTTGTCTTGTACAAATTTGACACTAGCCTTATGGAAGCAGTTGGAAATTGTTTCGGGAGTCACACTTAACCATGCTTTGGCCACATAATGCATGGCATCAAGAATTGATATGGTCATCAACTTTGAATTCAAACCATTATCATTCATAAACAAAGCTTTGTCAACCAGCATGTTTCTGTACTTCCATTTAAAAGAATGATTTATGCCCAAATCCAGTGGTTGAAGAATGCTAGTATAATTCAGGGGAAAGAATACTAATTTTATATTTCTGAGTTGCAGATCTGTAGGGTGGGCAGGACATCTTTCTAGCAGTAATAACACTTTCCGATTTCTTGCTCCCATTTTCGCATCCAGAGCATGCATGGTGGAGGAGAAGACACTGCTGGTCATCCATGCACTACTGTTTGCCTTTCGGTTGGTAACTATTACTATTCGGTTGGTAACTTTTTGATGTGTTTAAAACACCCTAGTTTTTTAAATTTTCCTATTACTAATGGTGGTAATTTTTCGGAGCCATCAGCATTCACCATTAACAAAACAGTTACCCTCTGTTTGTTGAGCTTCCCACCATGGCACTTTTCACCTTTGAAACACAATGTCTTACTAGGCAGAATGTTATAAAAAAGTCCTGTTTCATCAACATTGAAAATGTTTTTTTCTTTCATAGTCCTGGATAATTGAAGGAAGTTCATGTTTCCATTCGGTAATGGTATCCTCAACAACACTTCGACTTTCCCCGCACACCTGGTTATAAACAATATTATGGCGGGTCTTGAAGCGATCAATGCATCCATTTGATGCTGTGAATTCTGCAATCCCCAACTTTGCTGTAAACTGGAGGGCTTTCGCTCGCAAAAGGTTGCCATCAAGAGGAATACCCGATGCCCTCGTGGCAATAAACCACTCCACCACGAGTTTGTCAATCTCATCGTAAGATGATCTTACGTATTTTCTTTTTGTTGACATAGCACCACACTGTTTTGCATTAAATTCAATTGTGTTTCTGTTTTTAATTTTAGTACAGTAATTATAGTAGCATAATTATAGTAAATATAAACCCCTAAAAAAATGCCATCCAAGAGACTTTGAAAGGGACAATGAACATTCCCAAATTTATTAGCACATTGGCTGCATGGCCAGCATTTTTGCTACTTCAAATAATTTGCTAGCTTACACAAGCCATACTCCACTTCTGAAGTTCTCTTCTAACTATTGAATTTTTAGTCATTTTATATTATAAAAATTTTAAACATATGCAGTTTTATGTAACCATGGAAGAATTCAAAAACAAGTTTCATACACTGAAAGCCTACAGTATTGCCAAAAGATACATTTTTGCAAAATGTAAATGTCATTAAAATTGATCAGTCTCAGCAACTAGTCTCATTCAGAGGTGAAAAAATTACTTACAAATTGTGGATCAGGTTCTTCAAAACGAAATTGTATTTTTTCACAAAAGCATCCATTATACTCTCTATTCTCATATTAGCATCCAAATCACAAGAATCATGAGCACTTTCATTTTCTGCACATTGATGACCTGATTCTAAATACCTGACAACGAAGTGAGAAAGTACAATTGAGCTTCACATAATTTGATCCAAATATCTAACTTAAGTTTTCCAGACAAATTGTGTTTATCAGCTCATTTGCAGAAATATTTCTATCGGTAATTTACGAAATTACTCTTACAATAAAAATATATTTTAAAACACTGCATGTGCTTTGCAGGATACATAATCATTTTGTTGTACAAATCACTCCCACAGTATTCTTTTCCCTATAGTAACTCCTCGGTAATAATGTACACCAATTTTTGTTGAAATTATTTACGTATTGAAGAGTTCAATTGAAACATGAACAGGCACACACAGGCAGAGTCATTTTCACAGAAACATCCAGGTATATCTTGCACACTAACGACGATACAATTGATCCTAGAAAGAATTCTTGAACACATGAAACGTAGGCAATTTTATCCTTTTTCTCTTCATACGAGATTACCATTTACAAAAAATTGATAGTTTTCCAGATATATTGAGATAAAGTGGAATAATTCCCGTTTTTCATGGGTTTTGCTTCATGGTTTTATTGCTTCACTTATATCACCAAATTTCACGTTGCTCTCGTAGTTAATCTGTTAATTGGAGAAAAAATCTTAATGAGATTAAATTGAAGTAATTTTATCTTCTTTTATTTCATACACCATTATTTACTAAAAAAGGATGGCTTTTGAGTTATTTTGAAAAAAAATGAAAAAAGTGTGAATTTAACACATTTTTTGCTTAAAAAGACAAAATTCTTGTTGGCACACCTGTTATTTGTGTTCAACAATTCAAAATAAAAAAAAAAATAAAAACCACACCTAAACTTTTCCCAATTTGCACTCTTTGAACACTATTTGACTGATTAGTGTCTTTGCTGCTTCCCCAAAATGCAAAATCAATCTATACTTTTAATACAAGGGATTTTAACACCTTTGGTTTCTGAACATGGTTAAAAAAAAGTGAACATTTACATATCTACAAATTTATATAATACACTGATTTGACCTTTTGGTTCTGAATGTAATCTCTGAGGAAAACTTCCAATTCAGTTTCCCAATTACAATATTTTCCATCTTCCAAATCCCATCCTTGTACATTATCAATTTTAGCCTTCATATTCCCTACTGTCTTCATAATCATGGTCGGTATCTGATTTAAGAAACCCGATATTTCTCTTTTCTTGTCCATTAACAACATTCCTTCTTCTTTCTGAAAGATCCCTCCTAGGTGTGGGGGCTACCTATGAAAGACACGAAGGTGCACCATTGTATTTGGAAGGATGAGCATTACCCTGAAGCCAATTTCTATGCTTGCCATGGGCGCCTTAATACGTAGATACGCCTCTGATGCGAAGTGTTTTTCACAAACGACCCCATGGTTGGCACCCACTTCCGTTCAGGAATCGCAAAGCCCCCTTCTTTCTTAATTCCTCAAGTTTGGGAAATTGGAATGTGATTACAGCTACTTCCACGGCCTTTAGCGAACTGTCATAATCATGTTTATAATGAAATTATCATTTTTCGTGCTAATCAAAAATACCTGTACTTTTATTTCTTACAGCACCTTCCACAAAGTTGTATGAATGTTTCTGCATTCACATTAATTGCCAAGGCCACGACAAAAATACCGAAATCAGAATTCGCAAGATCCCAGTATTTCACCAACAGAAACTTGCGTCGTGTCTCTATCAGGTTTCTATCTACTCTATGATAAAATGTTTGCCTTCCGCGGGGTTTTCGAAAACTTCGGTGGTTCGCAGTCAAAACTGTCGATAAGGATTTCGAATTTCGTTCCAGTCGATAGATGACGTAGATGACCTAGCTCGTGATCGATTCTTTTCTCACAACAACAACAACAACAACAACAGTCGCGCGTGAGCTCGTGAGGTTATCTTAAATACGACTAATGTGCAAGTGACAATGTAAAGTCGTAGCAACGATCGAATGACATTGTTTCAATTTTTGTGATTGTGTACAGAAAATGTAACAGGGTAGCGTGATTCTAATTTTATTTACTTAATCATCTGAACATCACTAAAGTTCATAGGTATGTTACGCCCACTTCTGAGTCTTCCATTCTTGAGCTTTTGTACAAGTGTGCGACCATAATACACTGCTGTGGTGTTCAATTTTTTGTGGTTATGGAATGATGAATACATGTTCTGAATTTACTGTTCACGTTGAACTATTTTTCGAAGATTGAGATCTTCAGTGTGAGGTTAGGTGCGTGATTGCAGAATACACAGCCCTCATCCAAATGCTTTGTAGTATGGTATCCTCGTGATTACAGAATGCCTTTCAATGATCTGCTTCTTAGGACAAGTCTTGGACAAAACTTCATCTTGGGGAGAAAGTTCATAGATTTAAATCAACCAACTTCCATGAACTGACGTTTACATTTTGACCAAACTGTACGATGTGTACTTTGGTCAAACTTTTTTTTTTTTTTTTTGTCAATTCATAACTTCTCCCCACAGCAAGTCATACATAGTTTTTAACTGCTTATGACATTTCATAAATAAATATGATGCCGGTTATTTGATACATTAAAAACTGTTTGAAATCATTGACACTAGCAACAATTTTTCAGTTTCTAGTCAGAAATCTACAAATGTCCTAATTATTATGTTACAAATTAACGCACAGTAATGTGTAAATTGCTATATGGGACCTTAATTGATTCTTATCTTTCCTATTACTCCTGAACTCAACGTTCTTGCAATTTGATGGAATTTTTTAATGTGCAAGTGTGACCCACTAAATTCATTCTTAATTTAGACATTTTTTCAGGGCTTGTAATATTTTTCTTAATAAAAACTCATAAAGTCATGTGTGCATGATGTTAATTGACACAATGCAATGTAGTTTTAATTAATTAATAAAAAACATACAATCCCTGAAAAAGTTGAAATGAAGATGAACATGTATGCTGAAATGAAAAAGAAAATATTTTGACATATTGTAAGAATTGATACTAATTTTGTACAATTTTACTAGAAAAATTGCTTGATGTGCTTTGTTAAGCTTTGAGAATCATATTGACATCAGAAATTGCATTCTGAAATCCACAAGTAATGATTTTTATAAGTAATATTTCCTTTGTTTTATGATTCACCTCCCATTTTTTCCTTTTCCAGCCGTTTCCTGTCCCCCCCCCTCCCCAACTACAAACAAAATGGCAGTTTCACCCACCGCAGTTGACCCAGTAATCAATGTTGTGAATTCAAAACCAAAGAAGCTAGTGAATGATATGCAACAAGCTGTTGATGATGCATTAGCTGGAATTGCCATGGCAAATAAGGGTTTAGTACTTTTAGAAAATAAGCGAGTAATTATGAGAAGAGATCATTCTGAACTTAAAGGCAAAGTGAAGCTTCTTGCTGGTGGAGCTTCAGGCCATGAGCCAGCAGATTCTGGTTTTGTAGGACCAGGCATGCTTACTGCTGCAGTATTGGGTGATATCTTTATCTCCCCTTCAGCCAGTACCGTGTTGAGTGCACTTCGAGAATTAGGATCTGGGCATCAAGATGGTGTTTTGCTTATTGTGAGAAACTATACAGGTGATCGTCTGAATTTTGGGGTTGCTATGGAAAGAGCCCGAAATGAGGGTATCTATGTTAAAATGCTTGTTGTGGGAGAAGATTGTGCTTTACCAGAAACAGGAAAGGTTGAAGGACGTCGTGGACTTGCAGGCACGATATTGATCCATAAAATGGCTGGGGCTATGGCAGAAGAAGGGCAGACTCTCGAGGAAATCTTTACTCGTTGCTCTGATATATCAATGTCTGACATGGCAACTATTAGCATTGGACTTTCACCTCCTTCTTATCCAGAAGGATTACAGAAAAATGTGGGGTTGAAAGACGATGAACTCGAATTGGGACTTGGTATTCATGGTGAACCAGGGGTACATCGTGTTCCCCTCGGCACTGCAGCTGAAGTTGTTCACATTATGTTGGAGCACATGATCAATCCTGCATCCAAAACACATATTGAACTACCATCCGACATACCTCTTGTGGTACTTATCAATAACATGGGAGGATCATCAAAATTTGAAGAAAATATATTTGCAATGGAAACTCTGAAGCAACTTCTAAGGCAAGGCTACTCAGTTTCCAGAGCTTATAGTGGCACATTCTTGACATCTTTAGAGATGGCTGGGTTTTCTATTACTCTCCTGAAGGTTGTTTCTCAAGAGATTTTGAAATATCTGGATGCACCAACAGGAGCTCCAGGATGGCCTCGAACTCTTTGTGCCTCCTTAATTAACGAGCAATCGGATAGTGGTGAGGACGATTTACCTCTGTACATTTCTGGCTGGTCCCCCCATGCTGAGGAGGAGCAGGAGCGTAAAGTGTCGTTGCAAACAGGACCCCAAATCACTGATAAGTCAGCACATATAATTTTGCAAATACTTAATTTCACCTGTGATGCATTAATTTCATGTGAAAAACAGCTCAATCTCTATGATCAAGACAGTGGAGATGGAGATTGTGGCACTGTTATCCGACGAGGGGCAGAAGGAATAAAAGCTGCTATTAAAACTGGACGATTACCAGCCCTTAGACCATATGCTCTCCTGGAATCATTAAGTAATATCATTGAGCAAAGCATGGGAGGGACAGCCTCTGCTTTGTACAGTATCTTCTTTGCTGCTGCTGCCAAGGTAACTGCTATCATACTTTATTTACTTCATGGCAGTGAATGGAAGTAATGGCTGGGATACCATCCAGCTAGTAACCTGACAGATTTGTATGCTGGAGGGGAATGAGGTTCTTGATCACAGAGAATATTTTCCAGCTATTCAGCAATTAAGAGTCATCAGGCCAGAGATGCAGGTCCATTAAGAATCATTGGAGGGTCAAAATGAAGCTGCCACACCACCATGTAACACTGTAGCTAACGTAATTCAGCATGATTAATATGTGGACCGAGGCCCATGGCACCACCAGGGGCCCAAAATGTAATTAGTTCATACTGCAAGTTGATATTGTAAAGAGATGATACCTTTAATTGAAAATTGTCAAACTTTTGTTACCTATTGAAACATTAATTTATTGGGAAAGAATTTTTTAAATAAAATTTTAATTGGATAGGATTTTTTTTTTTAAATCTTTGAACCAAATAAATAGAAATTGAGTGAGACCAAAATGCCAAGCTCCCAAAATGCAAACCTCAATTTTTGTTTGTCATGAACTTGTGTTTGTTGGAGAATAATTTGGCAAAACAGTAGAAATTTGGGGACCATACATTGGTTAAAAGGAATAAAGAACATCAAAAACAGTTGCAACTTTTGTAATTCAGAAAAACTGAAACACTCTTTGGGGGAAGAGATTGATAGTTTGTGACATTGACCATTGAGGTACTGACAGTTTTCTAACTAGAAAAGGTAAAAAAACAAAACAAAATTGGAGATGTATTTCTGTGAAATATCTTTTCTGTGTCAAGTCAGGGAAGTAATTAATTTTCATTTTTTTTATTCAATTTTGAAGAATAGAAAAATTAAAATCTTTGAACATACTTTGAAGAAATCAATGTCTTATAAAGGATATTTCTCTTGCATCATGGTGGCGTGGCCAAAGAATTGATAATTATTTATATTTTTTTCTCTTGCATCTTGGTGATGTAATTAAGAAATTAATAATTATGTAAAGATGTATGTATTAGGTGAAGCAGTGAAAATCGTTTTTAGAATATTAATATTTACGAACTAGTAGGTTATTTTAACAGTAACTTAAATGTCAAAATTATTCATTTGCATTTGATACTCAGGCTAAGTTCTTTAGAAAACTCAAATCTAACAAAATTAAATAAATGTTGCCAAGTGTAATAATTGTGACAGCCGTTTCAGAAGCTGGATGAAAGCACTGAAGTGAATGCTCATCATTGGCTCCAAGCTCTTGAAGCAGGCACTCGAGCTGTAATGCGATACGGTCGAGCTGCTAAGGGGGATCGAACAATGGTTGATCCCCTTGTAGCAGCCATAACTGCCATGTCTGACCACTTAAGTATGAAGCCTGAAGAGGACAAGCAAGCATTGGCGAAAGCTACATCAGCTGCGCGAAGTGCAGCTGAAGCAACAAAACACATGCAACCCATGTTGAATAAAAGAAGCTTGGCATTGCTGGAAAAACCAATAGAACCAGATCCTGGGGCCCATGCTGTATTCTTATGGTTTCATGCTATAAATGAGAGTGTGAAACTTCTTTTGTAAAAATGTTCTGTTTAAGATAATAAAATACATTTTTTGGTTTACTCAATGTGTGAATGAAATGGAACAACCAGTCATAAATCAATTTGTTTGTTGTTGTTTTTTCAATTGGAATATTTGAATGAGAATAGAACAGGTAACAAAAAATTGCAGCTATAAACCTGTATTTCAATGGAAATATGAAATAAATTAACAGCAAGGGCTGAAATATCATAATCCACTGTTATACTCCTTGCTACAGTGCAATTAATACTTTGCTGTATAAGCTTTCATATCTTTACATGTCAGCATCTTTCTACACTGATTTATTTTATTTATGGTTTTATTATTGTTGTTTTTATTGTTATATTATATATTGTTCGTTTATTTATTTTATTTTCGAAAGCTTTCAGAAATGCTCCTTTTTATTTGGCACGAAGAGAATAATGTCAAATTAGAATTCAAAGCTAAAATAGGTATTAAAATCTGGACAAAATTTCATATTATAATATTTAATATTATATGTAATAAATATTGACCTGTAAGACAATACTAATTAACAAATTCAAATTATGTTATAATAAATTAATGAATTACCATTGATACATTGAAAACTTAAGTGTCCAGTACCTAATGAATACATTAATTTACAGGTAAATATTCCTCACTTATTTTATTGTTTTCAGTTATGCTGCATTTGCTAAATCATGAATGCTCTTGTAGCCCTTTGTCACTTTTGTGAACTGCATGGTCCAAGTGTACTCTTCACAACACAAGCATTTCATGATAATGCAGAACTTCAAGTTGAAAATGATGGAGTGTTTCCAGGATCAAAAAAGGAGTTAAAGAAATGTTATGGAGATGTGGACAACTTAAAAACTAGAATAAAATTTCCAAGGCTAAACTCATGTGAGGTATTATCATTATTTTGAATTTAAAAAAAAATTAGTCTTTAAAAAATAAATTCAATTTTTGTACTTGCAATTCACATTATAATGTAGTTCAAGTATTTGAATATAATAATAACAACAACCTAATTATCCCCTCATGATTTTTATTCATTTATATGTAACATTCAGAAATGACAATACGTTGTGTAGAATGTTGTAACCATTTTATGTCAGGAAGAAGGTACAAGTTTGTGTGTTTGTTGTGTTTTTTTCAGTACCTAATTTCAACCTCTTTAATCATACCAACACCTCTGTATTCATTGCAAAAGCTTCTAGAAAAGATACACACCAAAAAGGGACACCTAAATCCCTTTATTATATTTCTTTTATAACTTCCATTGCAATAAAAATAATGCAACAGTATATTTATTTCCCCAAGGTGAAAACCTGTTAGCAAACCTGAAGCCGGTAATGTGTGTCATAAACACTTGAGTTAAAGTTGTCCTAGTTTGTTTTTCATGTTTGCTTGTAGTAAAAGCTGTTAAATTTCTTCAATATACTGTGAATAATTTGAAAAACTTGTTCATAGTGATTTTTATAAAATATTGCATTACAACAATTTTTTTGGAAAATTATCACTTTATACTCTTAATAGATAATATTTTATGAGAAAAATTATCAATATTTTAACTTGTTTCAGGCTTGTCAGTCATTAACTACTGATCAACTAGGCTTCATTAGCAATGATCATGAGGGGCGGATTAGTTACCTGAGTACTCAGGAAGCAACAGAGCACGATGTAGCTGAGCTGTTACGGCAAGCATGTTTTAGAAGTCTGAGCTGTGAAGTCAGTCCAGGCAAAGAAGGACCGCTATATTTTGGAGATGACATCAGGGGGCATGTGCTGAGTTACACGTTTTTTCTAAAGGATGCGCAAGCGAGAGGATTTCATCGATGGTTCAGTGTTGTAATCCTCATGCGAGATAAACTGTTTTTACTGAATTCATGGCCATTTCTTGTGGACAATTTGAATTTAATTATTTCTGGACTCCAGACAAAAGCATCAAAGGTAAACATTGTTTGCAAAGAAGATAAATGTATTTTCAAATGTTCTCTGCTGGTGAAGTAATGTAATATCAAAACAATTCAAAACTCTTCTCAGAGGATAACTGCTTTGGGTGCATGGAGTCTATAGTTACATATGAAACGAGAGCAAATTCTAATGACTTGCTCACAGAAGTGTTCATTTAATTTTAATTTTTTTTTATTAATATAGTAGTATTACATTAAAAGAGCTTGTAAATAATTAAAAAGATAAAAGTATTGGAAAGGCATGCTTTTCATCTACTATTGTGATCTTGCAATAAGGATTTGATTTTCATGACAGCATTCTCAAGCTTTATCATAATAAAATTTACCTATTTCATTTTTCACAATCAGTTTAATAAAAACAAAATAACTTCTTGTTCTAATTCTCTTCATAAAAAGCAGAGTTTTAAGAAATATTGTTCCATGCCTTAGCCGACTTGCATTCCATAAGCTTAACTACTCTAATCTCAACCTCACTTTTTAGTCAAATTTGATCAGTTCTTTGATTTTCTTTCCCATAATAACAGTGAATCCAATATACATTTACAGTTTTTCATGAAATTGCAATTAGAACATAACATTAAGAAAAAGTTAGTAATAAAAATGATCATATAAATTGAGACTCAAGAACAAGAGCCCATGCCTCTGACTCAAGTGAAACAATTAATTTCCCAATAAATTACTTACCGACTTATGAGCTCAGGGCATTAATTGATGTCACTGCAGTGCCTCTGACTGGGAGGTCCTGGGATATGCGTCCCAACAGTGGCAGGATTTGCACTAGCTAGCTATGATGAATTCAGGCACTGTCTGGAGAATTCTAGTGGCTGGCTCTCCTGATCAGTAGTTTTCAATGGATTTTCTGACTGTAGTTTTCTGGAAAAGGCAAATGCCAAAGCAATACCCCAACAAATAGGCCATGGACCTCGCATGATCTTTCCTTCCTCTTTCTTGTTCTATCTTCAATGACCTTGCTTGCATGCACTACACCATCACACACATCGGGAGACCAGTGAGGAGCTTAGAGCTTATGCCAACTGGGGTGGTCTTCTACTGGATTGAGGTATTTGGTTAGGAAAAACCCTTGCAAACCGACAGAGTAGGTCAGACCAGATCTTGTCATCCAGCGGAGGAAGATCTCCGTCACCTCCCACAATAAAAACAGGCACCATACTTACAGGACTAATGATCTTAGCAGCTGACATGCCAAGAAACACTAACCAATCAATTAGTAAATAATTCCAGCAGCAGTAGGGTGAACAACTGGTACATAATGTCGACTTCTTTCATGGGAATTAATACTGCTTACAACAATTCATGATAGTATGCTGTTAGAGTCCTCCACACACCTCCCAAGCAAATATTGTTGAACATATTAATGTAAAAATTATGGTACTTTCATCTAAAGTGGATTCAAGGAAAATGTCATTTTAGGGACTGTTGGTGATTTAATTCATTTTAGGGGCATTGCCCACACCACCTCCCTCATAAATGAAAAACTGTAAAAAATAATATTTTATGATTGGTATCTTTCAGTTATATGAGATGGAGCAGGCTCAATGTCCTCAGCGTGCATTTCGTCTCAGTCCAGAAAGTTCAGCGTACAAACAACTTTCCAACAAACCATCCCGCTCTCTGACAGAACTTTCATCAGATGAAAATATATTTGCAAAGTAAGAGTGTAAAATTAAATACTTCAATAAAATTTAAAAGCACATCAAAATGTTGAAGGCATATTTCCCTATGTTAAATATATATTTTTTTTAAATGTTAGTATATCACAGATATTGCCTACAAGTTATTGACATAATATTTGCAGTAATGTAACATTATTTTTGCCTTGCATAATCTAAAAGTTGTCATCTTTTTCAAATTCTGAGAATAGCTATAAAGAATTTTTCACACAAAATAATACAAATTTCATGTCTGAAGTTGTTGCAACTGTGTCAATAGAAAGGTTTGCATTGATTGTCACTCAAATGAACATCACAATCAGGAAGTCAGAATTGTTCTAAATGAATAGCATGTGAAAGTTTTGCTTATTGTGTTTCAGGCTGCACTGGTGGTTTACGTGGCTGTTGAGGGCAGGTGCTGAAAGACTAGTCGAAAAAGTGAGTGAAGGCCTTCCTGGTCAGGCTACAACCACAGAGTGGGATAAATTCCACTATGAGGGTGGGTATACTCTTGGAGTCCCTGATAAACTAAATTAACAGACTTAAGTAGCATCATGGCATTCACCATCACACATCGTCAAATTGGACATGCGTAGGAAAGAGTGAAATGAGCTGAAACAGTAATGCCCCATAGAAGAAGCCATTTTATTTTTGCAATGTAAGAGATACGATAATAAAAGTGGCACACAATAACTATAGTGAGTGCTGCAGGCGGTGCAATAGCAATAGTGAATGCCACAGAGGGTGCAATAGCTGCAGTGAGTGCCACAGGGGGGACAATAGTAACAATGAGTGCCACAGGGAGTACAATAGCTGTAGAATGTATCACAGAGGGTACGATAGAAATAGTGAGAAAGTAGCTTGACATCATTACTAGCAGAACACTAAGGGCAACTTTGTCATTCACTATTAAAAAGAAATTCAGATGCCCTAAAAAATATTTCTAATTATGTAATTTCTTTCTATATTAAGTAATCAATAATTACATTGTGTTCCTTCATGGTTCACTATTGCCATATTATATTTTTTCTTCTCTGTATTTGTCCTATTCCATTATTTTGGCGACCTTTTGTAATAAATGTGTAGATTACATAGATATTTGTTGTTTATAAGTAACATAATTTAACCCCTTAGTTGCAGACATGGAGGAGGGTTTCACATTAGTCTCAGCCAAAGAACGTCATTGCCCTGTCCAAGAGTTGGAGGCAAGTGGGGAAGTTCTATCACACAAACCTGCCATCAGCAATGTGCGACAGTTACGAGAGATCCTTGGGCACCAACAATTCATCATACTGGCTTTCTGTTTTATGACTGGGCATCAAATTGTGGTGCGAGGTCAACCTCAAGAACTTGTTTCTAGTATTATTCGATGTCTTAAGGTAGTTTCACGAATTGCAATGTACTAATAATTGTTTTTGAGATTACATAATTATTTTGTGAGATGTATTTTAATTTTTCTCTTAGGTATTGGTGCCCCGGTCATGTTATCGTGCAGTATTACAGTCTGAAGAGTATATGGATACTTCACATTGTAATATTCTTGGTTTGAATCCATGGGCTGCCGCTCCACAACCATGTTCTGCTATTGCTCGCCTTGACATACTCCCCCCTCTGGACAAGACAGACACTTACGAACTTCAGAAATACAATTATAAACTCACTTGGGGTGGAAAACTTCCATCAAAATGTAAAGTTCAATACTATATATAATTGTATATATATAATTTCAATTAAAATGACTAGAGAATTATGAACTAATACTTTTCATATTCATAATCAGGTCCCACAATACTAACGAAAATGGAAAAGGCATTGGATAATCCTAAACTTGCTGATACTGTTTTACAATACCATTTTGTTGCCCTCAAAGAAGAATGGCTTAAGTAAGTATTATAAAATAAAATAATTATAAATATATATACTTGTTTGTATTTTTAGAGACAATAATGTAGGCTTTTATTATTTGAGGTAGAAGGTAATTAATTTGTTGACTGGATATTGATATATTTGCCAGACACAGACTGTGGTATTTTTGCCCATAAGATATTTTGATCTCCATTATTTTCATAATCTTTCTTCAACTTTGTGTTTTTCTTTTGCAGTATTGCTAAAGTGTTGAAACAAGTTCACCAGCCTATTGGACAGTTTCAAGATATGTCAAATCTTCTGCATGCACTCGGTGCCCAAGAACAAGATAAAGCATTACTGACCTTTTGGGCTGCTGGTGTTTTATCGTGATAACTATTATAGCAATAGTGGTAAAGGTGTAAATGCTTGTTGGACTTTTAGTATTATTATTTTGTGATACATATATGTGATAAAATTTATGAATCTAATTTTTGAGACTGTTTTCATTTGTTAAGATAAATGTTAAATATTCACGTTTTCTCTCACTTTTGTGTTTTTGGATTCATGAAAGTAAATAATTTATGGATATGAAACACAGTATAACTAGTGGGCCATGATAGCACATACTTTCTTGCATTATTTCTAAATTTGCAATTTTCTCAAAATTCGGAGAGTTCAATGAAAACAAAGCCCACACCATTCTTTTAAATGTCCCTTCTAGTCATGAAAAAAAATTAAAAGAGAAAATTCAGAGCAGATTCTGAGAAAATGTTTTGTTATAGAAAATGCTTACATTTCAAACACAAATTACTTAACGAAAACTTCTACTTTTTTTCCCTCAAAAATTTGTACATGACTTTTATCAAAGAGCTTATTTTTTACAACAGACTTTGTTGGAGGCAAAATGTCTATTTTCACTTTTCTAGTTTAGAAATGTTACCTTCTTGTAACTTTCGAAAAAACTGAGAGCAAGCCAAAAATGGGAAATTTCAAGAAAAAATTTGAACTGTTTCTTGGGCGGTGGGGGGGGATTGTTTAAGTTTTTCTAATTGCCTATATTTCAAAATGACACAAAAAATCATATTTCAAAAAAATGAACATGAAATTTTAATATCTTTCTTAAAGGGAAAGATTTCGTTAAGGAAAAACTTTCTATCTTAAATTATGTAGTTGTAAAAGAGGCCCAATATTTTTTAAATTTTTGCAATTTTCAAAAAATCTGAAATTTCAATGAAAATGAGACTTGCACCATTCTTTTAAGAGTTCTTCACGCTATCCGACACATTTTAATCAAAAAAAGTTTGAAAATGTCCAAGAGCCCCCCCTCCAAGAAAATATGGGTCTTAAAGTTCTTGGGCCGCGACATCAAGATCAGCTTTTTTTTTTTTTTTTTTTTTTTCCAAAAATTGCTGGCCTTTTTCCCATGCAGGATATCAATACGTTATGCTGCATAAGCAGCAGCGAGATGGTAAAAATAACAATCATGTTGGGCACATTCCAGTATCAGAAAACATGTTTTATCTGAGGATACAAAAGAAACGTTGAGATCGGCGGGTGTATACATGCACGTCCAAAAAGCTCTAGGTAAATTATTTTAACATGGAAAGGGAACCTCATTGTTCAATATACAGTTTTGTTTTCACACGTATTTTTAATTATTCAATAGTAATAATATCTTGTGGGAATGCACAGCATATCGATTTAATACAGCATTTGAAGATCTACAACTGAATGAAGTTAAGCACAAAAATCTAAGCCACAAGAATCAACATGGTTGGAAAATGGCTTGGGAGTTGGGACATAACTTAAAATTTCTAACAAAAATACATGTGGATATTATTGTAGAAAAGTTCTACATACTCACTATACATAGTTAATGTCGTTCAATATTGTCTCCAAGACTAATAAAATGGGGAGGCTTCCTAATTCTGGAACAATACAACCACCGTTCTCTGCGAACACAGTTGAACGAGTTTCTGAAAATGGGTAGGGGGGACGAGTCGCTGCCGATTTACGGTCCGATCATTCGCCTTCAGTCGCCATTTCCTTCCCGGATCTCTCGTACCAAGGCAGTCTAAAAGAACTAGACTGCTTTGCTCGTACCGATGCTTCGTTTGGTTATCTTAATTTCGCAGCGTAGGTTTGGTGCGATCTTCACTTGGTTTGGCACATAATGCCACCGAACAAGTTAAATTCACCACTGCACCGAACACTTATTGCGTAATTTTCGTTATAGTTTACACGCACACCAAACGGGCATTATACGCGGTGGCATAAATGTTCAAAAGTGCCGATGTTCAAGTATTACTTTATACTCGAGAGATCGTTCAAAGTGTAACCGAGTGCACGCAAGCATCCCCGATCTCAAGTTAATAATACTAGAATGTTCAATCCATAATTCCCACTCACTCGCCCTCTGCTCCCGCTCCGTTCAGTAGACAGTCGTACGCGAAGTTCAACATGATGGCCCCACTCTTCTCTCGGGCTGTTGGCAGAGCCCTTCGTTTACCTCCCATCTTGTTCATATTTGTCGCCTGCTCGCGTTTTTTCTCTCGAGAAAAAACATACTTCCTCAATGTCGTGCTTTATTTTTGTGCCGTTATTCCTTATAAAAAATCAAGGGATTGTGTCGTTGTACATAGGCGTTTCAGCGCCACCGCTGCGCCGCCCTAAGTGTCAGCGCGCCACGGAACCTCCGGCCGTCTTCGCAAAAGCCCCCAAACCTTTCCTCTTCAGCGCGCTTGCTCGGTGAACAAAATTTTCCGTTCCTTTTTTCCTGATTAAGGAAACTGAGAGACTTTTCCTGAAAGTGGCCGCCCTGACATTCCTCAAAACTACTCATTTGAACACAATTTTCCTCAAAGTTCCAATGTAATCCTTTAAATAATTTTTAAAGGATGAAAAAGGTTTGCTACCATTCAATTGCAGTGGGTTTGCTCTGTCCTATAGATATTTTATAGAAAAAACACAAATAGAAGAATCGTAACTGCTAATAGTTTTCGCTTCTGTATACAACAGAAGCATTAGATAGTATTCCGGGATTCAATATAATTACAAAGATCTTATCCTTTACCTTTCCACCCAAAATTACACAGAAACGTGTACATGAAACGATTGAACGATTTATCTAGGAAAGTAACAGATCCATGTCGAAACACCCCTTGAAATTTTTATGACACGCGCAATGCACTACCAGAATCCCATATCCAAAGTATTTGCTGCCAGTTTCCACTGCAAGGCTCCAAAATTGAAGCTAAAATATTTACTAGCAATGGAGTCTCGCGGCGCCGCTGGACATCCCTGCTGGGGTCGAGCGGGCGGGCACGCAGGCCACAGCAGAGAGGGCCACAGAGCCAACGGGACAGGCGAATGCCAGGGGCAGTCTCTCGGCGCTTAGAGCGGCACGAACAAACAGCACAAATGACTGGTTTCCACTCAATAAAACATGTTTTTGACACCATGCACAACGAATAAAAACTTCATTGTCACTACATATTTCATAGTTTCAAGGCAATATTTGACGGGCACTACAAATTCAGGAGGCTGCTCTTATGTACCTTGTAGCAAACCATTAATCATATTCCGGAAACGAGGAGATGAATATTGAAAATGAATGAAGGATTGCAATTGAATAATTGTGTCTCGGAAACTTCGGCGTTTGTACTCTTGTGAGACATTCCTGTTCTTATGAGCGGCGAGCGTTGTTCGCTTTCCACTGTCGGAAGATGAACTTATCAAGAGGTTGAATTTTTCCTCTAGTTCCCGGAGGTATCAGGAACAATTCAATGGTCTTACCCAAATACACGTTTTGTCATTGTACGTGGTCAATGAATCTAAAAGCAGAGCAAAATTTTCACGTACAAATGGGAAGAACGCTTTTTTAAACCACTGTTTCAACTCTTTCTCAAAATTCCTGATTTTGTAGCAGTAACAATTAGGTTTTCGTCTTGAAACATTCTTTTGGAGACTACAGGACCGAAAAATCCTTTTGGTTCCTGCAGCACTATAATTTAGGCACCAAAGATTCATTCATATTTGTTGGCATTATAGTGTATGACTGTGATAATGCAACAACTGATTGAGCAGCTGTCTGTATGTGTTTTTCGCCATCAAACGACAAAGCCTGTTTTAATCGCATTTCGCGTTCAAATCCACTTTGGTCTGAATTTTAGACAGAAGACTAATGTGAAAATCTCTTTGGCATTTTAGAGAAATTCATCTGCAACCACATCATTTTCTGTTTCGTCGTGTACACGAGTGCGTGATACAAATTTTGTTACTTTCCTGCTCTTATTTTGAGTGATTTTTTAAAACGATTGATCCAGGTGTGAGAGGCGAAAATGTTCTTATTTTCAGTGCCAATTCCTTGTAAAATTTCGAGAGTCCACTGACGCAGACCATCATTTACATTTTGATTTGTTCTTATTGCAACTTCAAATCGAGACCAAAGTTTCTCATACATAATTTGTGTTCTCTAGGATTTGCTGTCATGTGCTTCTTTCACAAATACAGTTGTCGCTCTTACTTCACGCGGCGAAAATTTTTGCGAACAATTTCAATTTCTTGCTGCGGACATTCATTCAGAATTCCACTGCTTTCTAATTCAGTATCTAATGCTAACATCTTCATTTGCATTTTTCACAGGGCTTGGATAATAAACTGAACCGGAAGACTTGCATGGTGACTGACATTTAGTATCACTAGTTTCTGGGCATTCGCTATTTGATTCTAATAAACACTTGCCTATATCACCCGTGGTAGAAGAGTATACTTATTTCAGTCTGTATCACAGTCACTTATCACTTGATTCCTCATAACGCTCCATTCCTGTGCTATTATTTATCAATTCAATGATACATCGACCCGTCTCATTCTTTATCATTTACACTTCCTGTCCGAGATAAACCTTTGTCGTGATATATATATATATATATATATATATATATATATATATATATATATATATACACACACACACACACACACACATATGTATATATATACATACAGTCCCTGGCCATATTATTAGACGCACCCTAAAGTTTCAATAAAAATCACGTTTTTGTGATGAAAAATGTATTTTTTTTAATTCTAACAAAATACATAAGTAATAATTGAATACGTACGATACAAACAAGATATAATATCCAAAATTATGACTGTCAGTATAATATATAAACTAATTTTCATAAAAAATCTCCATGCACATGTATATCTTTAATACTTTGTCAGGCCACCTTTGGCGGCTAATAGAGCTTTAATTATTTTTGGAATGCTATTAATGCATGACTGGACTTTTTCTTGCAACTTTGGACGATGGTACCCGACTTGAATTATTTTCTCAAGGAGGCAAATTTTTATTCTTATTTCTTGCTTTGCGATTTCCCTCTTCATGAGCTGCCAAACATTTTCTATTGGGTTCATATCTGGTGAATTTCCTGGCCATGGTAACAAAGGAACATTTTTCTCCAACAAAAATGATCGAACTGTTTCAGCAGTATGACATGAAGCCCAATCTTGCATAAAAACAAATGATTCTTCATTTGTGAGCCATTCCTGTAGTTGAGGCAGCAGTCGTTTCTGCAATACTTGCTTGT